ATAAATCCTACATCTCCTACTCGCACAATAAAAGAAACTATGTCCCATCTTCTTATGGGGCTTTTTAATGTCTCAAAACATGAAGCACATTCCAGTTTGCCAGCAAAAAAATCATATACAAGAATATAGGCCGTGAGACTGCCATACTTTAATTTCGAGAGTAAGTTACCTTACAACTGTTAAGTGTGTAAAGTAACTTCAATAAATGAGTAGAGTTAGTATGAAGCGCCCTAGAGTCATTTAGTTGCATTTATCACAACTCACGATCTTTTTTGAAATATTAATTTCAATGTGTGTATTCACAATTACATTATTGAAACTTAATTAGTCGACACAATTACATTATTGAAACTTAATTGGTCGACTCGTGAATATATTATAATGTGTCACTTGAAATGATCTTCCCTTTCCTAAAAGATTTTCATTTCAAAACAACTGCTTTCTAGGTAGGTCCTATTAAATCGAATCAGTCACCACAATTCGCAACATCCCTAAGAAAACTAACATTATAGTAGGGAAGGGATGTGAATCCCAGAGCGGAAGTAGTAGAACGCATTCTTGAATTTCTTTTGAAAATTTAAAACACAGAAAAAATATAAAATAGGAAAGAGTGTTGGATTTTACCTTTGAAGACTCTTCTTCATGTAAACCCAATGAGACAACACCACTTAATCTTCCTTGCTAAGTCTTTCGGTCGAGAATCCAAATTGTGGGATCCAATTGTAAAGGATTGAGAGAGTAAGAGAGTTGAGAGAATTTTTTAGTATATTTTTAGGGTTCAGCTTACTATCATTTTTATAGAGGAAAAATCCTAAGACCATCAAGATATCTTCTCCTTTTGGATATAAGATATCTTCTCATGTAAGTCCACCATGATATCTTCTCATTTTGGATATAGAATATCTTCTCTTGAATCTAGGGGAAATCCCAAAACCATCAAGATATATTCTTATTTTAAATTTAAAATGTAGGGATTTTTCTCATCCATAATATTAGTCCCCACTCTTATAATACATAGTACTAATTTTGAATATTTATTTAAAATTAACATATATTTATATAATGTATCAATATACATTATATATATTCCCTTATATAATTTGAAAATTTCAAATTATTTCATAATTCTCAACCCTTGTTTTACCTGTTGTGAGCTAGCAAGGGGGCCTAATGGACCTACAGATCAGAAACTCTAACAATGCGAGATTATTAGTCAAACTTATTAACCGAGTTAATAAACATTCGTTAACTGCTTGTTACTCCACTAAAGACCTGCAACTGCACTCTTTTGAGTGCAGACTATTTTCATGTCCACGGATGTACGACCAATAACAACAAGTCAATCCTTCATGAGTGCTCGTAACTCTGGCCGGGTCAAATTACCATTTTACGTATGAGTTACATCTTGCTCCTTAAATACCCATGCTCCTCTAATGAACAACCCGATTATGGTCCGACCAATAACCGAAAGTCCCTCTTGGGTCAGTGAGAGAGTGGGGCCCCTTGTTCAAGTTTCGGAGTCAGCATGTAAGGGAACACTCATCTACTTCCCTAAAGTCAGGAAGGAGTGAATGTCATTTTGCATAGTATGTTCCCAGCTCCCCACTTCGTCTCGTCCCCAAAATGGTAGGATTATTGATTCGGCAACCCGGGCCACTCTCACCCTTACAAATCAAAAGACGATCTCTTATAGGCAAGAGTCTTAACTCGCTTAGGATTAAGATCGAGTTATCTGGTCATCCTATGAGATAACAATCTATTGACAAATGGTGTTAGAGCCAATGATTAATTATTTCGCGGTCCGGTCTTATACAAACTCATTGTATAGGATACCTCCACTCGCATGTCTCTACATGAACGACCTAGATAAAGTCGTTTGTAATTATTACAAAGCGGGTCGTATCCATAGTGTTACCAAGATAAGGTACCCAACCTTATCCATGTATTATAGACCATTTATGTTATTATTGGAACATCATCCACTTGTATATCGAATATATACTGTACATATACTGTATATCAAATATATATTATTCCAGTTACATTAAATAACCTTGGATCTTAGTTTACTGGAATATGAGTAACGCAAAGAAATAATAAAATAACTTTTATTAATAATAAATAGATTTTTTACAAATTACAAACTCATGAGCTCAGGGCACTAAACTCAACAAGTAGAACTTGAAAATTTTAGCCAAAAAGGTCATAAGGGTACTCATGGAGATTTCTTAATCTCACGGGTTTCACACAATAAAGAAGTAGAGATCAATTAGTTTCAGCTACCCTTGGTGGTCAATTTGTGCACACATGGTATGAAATACGTGTCACAATATTTTACTCTTTCTCTTTAGAACGTATGTCACAATTATTATTGTATAGACGATAGTTCAGATATATTCAATATCTAACTTGAGTCCACAACTCTACCTTAATATTTTATCAACTAATGATAATAGGACTTCCATCTCGCATTCAAAGATAGTTTACGGTGAATAATGAGATTTGTCACCTTCGATCATAATATGATCTCATCTTTATCACATATTAAGGCGATATCTCATTTTAAGCTAGCACATGCTCTCATATTTTATTGTACTGTTACAACAATAAAATCGCTTAAAATTATCTCATTTCTAATTGACACACAATCAAATAAGCGATTACTCGTGTGAGAGAGTCAATCTACCGTCCGACATACTTCTCATAAAATGTAGTAAACATGTTTTTTGTGTGTATGCATAATAAAGTACTAAACTTTATTCCATAGTTTAAATACATAATACAATTTGTTTAGAAACACAAAGTTAAAGCGTTCGCAATACTAAAACTTTAATGTGGCTATTAAATACATCTCTAGGATTAGGCTTAGTAAAAGGGTCTACAACCATGTTGCTCATTGATAATATTGCACATTTACTTCCATTTGTGCAATCATAACTCTAACAAAACTATATTTGATATCCATGTGCTTTGTCTTAGAGTGATATTTGGGATCCTTTGTGAAAGTTATAGCAGCCTAACCATCACAGTTTACCAATACTAAGTCAACTTTCTTTAAATCCCAAATGACTTAAGAATCTCTTAAGCCATACTGCTTCTTATATTGCTGTTGAAAGTGCCACAAATTCAGCTTCCATGGTAGACAAGGTTATACAAGTACGTTTCTTGCTACTCCAAGATATTGTTCCTTTATTGAGTAAGAAGACATATCTCAAGGTGGATTTTTTATCATCCATAACCCCTCCCCAATCAGCATCCGAGTAGCCTTCTAATTCTAAATTGTTTCCTTGGTAGCATAGTGAATAATTCATAGTGCCTTTGATATACCAAAGTTTTCTCTTAAGAACCTTCCAATGGGGTTGACCATGGTTTGACATACACAAGGCTTCAAGTAGCATTCTGGTAAGGAACTTTTCTCACGAGCTTTATTTCCTCAGGAGTCGCATATTCTTTGACTCAAATTTTCCCCTTTTGTGATAGGAGTATCAATGAATTTGCGGTCTTGCATATTAAATCTTTCAAGGATTTTCTGGATGTATTGACCTTGTGATATGGCTAACATCCTTTTGAAGGGATCTCTTTCAATATTAACTCTAAGTATATAAGCTACCTAACCGATATCTTTCATTTGAAAGTTTTAGGACAATCATTCCTTAATGGCTAATACATACACTTTAT